ATACCCTCTACCCCCAAATTATATTTTCACACCTTTCACGACATCTTTCTCTCTTCTCTACTCTTTTCTAAGCTCTTGAAATGCTAATTTTTAATTTTTGAGCTCGATTTTTGTATAAATTGGTCCGATTCTATATAAATTCGGTCTCGAACTCCCGACTCTATGTATTCACTCTCATTCCTATAAATTTTTTACATAAAACTCTCTCTTTTCTAATTCTATCATATTTCACCTATCTTTTTTATTTTATAAAACCTATTCTAGTTATAAAATGTCGAGTTCTCGTGGTAGTGAACATGCCCGTGATAGGCCACTACAAAAGCGTAAAAATGTAGGCGAATCTTCTTCGAGTAGACCTATATTGTTGAAGCCAAGACAAGCGGTATACCGGGTCTTCCCGATGGCATTGAGCCCAAGGCGATCCGACGCATCTTTCACTCTATTGAGGAAATCCATGAAAGCATACAATTGGAGGAGAACCAGGAGCAACCGTACAAAGAGGGGATCATAAAATGTCGAGTGATCATGATTCTGCTTTGCTTCTTCGGTGCTCCTCATCTGGGATCATTATTTTGTTGTTCTATGTTGATGATATGATCATCACTAGAGACGATGTTACCGGTATTTCTGATTTACAGGATTATCTTCGTCAGTATTTTGAGATGAAGAGTTTGGGCCAGCTTCGCTATTTTTTGGGTCATGAGATATCTGATTTCTCTGATAGCTTTTATTTGTCTCAATCCAAGTATGCATCTGACCTTCTTGCTCGGGCCGATCTTACTGATTGTCAGACAACTTCCACATCTCTTGATTATGATTTTTGTCTTACTAAACTTGACTCTCTTCTTGAGGGTCCTACATTATATCGTCAGCTCGTTGGGAGTTTGATCTATTTGACTGTCACTCGGCCTGATATAGCTCATGTTGTTTACATTGTGAGTCAGTTTGTGGTTGCTCCGAGCACTACACATCATTCTGTTGTGTTGCACATACTTCGTTATGTGAAGAGCACTCAATTGCATGGTTTACACTTCTCCGCCCGTTCTTTCTTGACACTTAGAGGCTAATCTGATGCAGATTGGGCTGGAGATCCTACAGATCGTCATTCCATTACTGGGTACTGCTTGTTTCTAGGTGATTCACTTGTCTCCTGGTGCAGTAAGAAGCAAACGTTAGTTTCCAGATCTAGTGTTGAATTAGAGTATCGTGCTCTTGCTGATTCCACATCAGAGCTATTATGGTTGCGTCGGCTCCTTGCTGATCTCTATGCACCTCAGTCATCGTCTACTTCTCTACATTGTGATAGTCAGAGTGCTATCAAGATGTCTCATAGTGATACCTTTCATAACCACACCAAGCATATTGAGATTGACTGTCACTTCATTCGACAGCATGTTGCCCATGGGACTGTGATGTTTCAGTCTCCTCTACGGATAAAACAACGGATGTCTTCACAAAGTCTCTCATTCCCGGTCACTTTTGTTTACTTCTTAGTAAACTCAAATTGATCTCCAGTATACCACCTTGAGTTTGAGGGGGGTGTTAGTTATGCAAAGTGTATTCTTTTATCGTAGGTTTGGTTTAGGCCTAACCTAAGATTGAGACCCATCTATGTATCTATATGTATGTGTACATGTCTTTGTGAATATACAACACATATTTTTCTCACATTCTCACAAACTTTTCCATATATAAAAAATTTAATAATGAAAATTTATTTTAATCTACAGATACTTTGTTAGGAAATGTATTTTCTTAAACGACTCTCATCATACGTACGATTCTCTAGTCCTATATTATAAAAAAGTTTAAACCCGTATCATGTAATAGAGTTTATAGTAATTATTTAGTTAACAAATAATAGATATTATTATTATCCAATTATGATTGATTTGAAAACCCTTTTATACATAATTTCAGAAAGCACTGAGCCTAAGTGGTAGCTTCGCACGCTTCGTAATCTCACATGGCAAAATATTATGCTTGGATAAAAATTACTAATTTTTATACCAAATAACGTAGGTTCGGATTACCATATACACATATTTAATATATTTCAATCATTCCATATAAATTTATTTACTATTTTCTTTCTATAATGTGAAGATAATCGTACTTTTTAAATTTTTTGATTTGTTCATATTATTCCCTTATGTGTTTTAAATAAAAATATTATAAATAAAATTAATTAGGTGTATAAATTAGTTTTCAGAATTTAAAATAATATTGTTAATTCACTTAGTTATTTATTATAAAATGTTATATATTGTTATTTATTTATTTTTTCAAATTCAACAAAATGTATAATTTTTTTTTATTGTACATTTAATTATTTTATCATACACAAGTTTTTTATTTTTTATTGTACATTTAATTATTTTATCAACCACCCGTGTAGTACATGAGTATTCTACTAGTTATTTTCATTTATAAAGGTGGATACAATTTATATGTACGTAATATGGATGTCAAATTGAATGTCTTCAAAAAATGGTTAAATTTATATATCATATATGAAAAACTAGTAACAAGTTAAAATGTTATTAAGTTTGGAAATATATTTATAATTTAAGTGACCAAACGTTTAATAATTATAATTGTCTTGACAACAACAACAATAACAACAACAAGCCGTTAAATCCTACTAAGTGAGGTCGGCTATAAGGATCACATGTTGCCATCGTGCTCGATCAGAACACATATCCTCATCCAAATTTAAATAATTTAAATCATTTTTTGTTGTTTCCTTCTAAGTTTTCTTAGGTCACCCCTTCCCTTTTTAATATGCGTTCTTTATTCTAATGTTTCGACCCTTCTCATCGTAGCCTCGAAGTCTCTCCTACGCACATGCCTATATCATCTTAATCGTGATTCTCTCATTTTCTCTCTATGTGCGTTAACTCAAATTTATTTCTAATACTTTTATTTTTAATCTTATCTAACTTTGTATGCCCACACATCCATCTCAACTTTCTAATCTATGTCACTCTCATTTTTTGATCATTTTCATATTTAGTAGCCCAACACTCGGGTCCATAAAGCATCGTCGGTCGAATGGTCATTCAATAAAACTTACATTTCAAACTCATTGGTACTTTACGTTCACGAAGTATCGACAACGCGCTCCTCCACTTGTTCTATCCCGATTGAATTCTATGTTTTACATCCTTATCTATGTTGTCATTATCTTCTAAAATGGATCCAAAGTATTTAAAACATTTAGATGTGTTCAAAGCCAGTGTCTCAAACCTGCTATAAACTCTCAGTTTATAGTAATTGACTGTCCCAAGCCAGTGTAAAGAAGGAGGGTTGGTTAGGTTGACGACCAGCATACAATTTTGTCATTCTCATGAGTATGGATCACATAAGAAAGTCTTGACAAACATAACCTAAAAGTTTAAATCTACACGAATACTTCGAAGTGTTATTATAAAATTATGAATCCCAGAAAAAACAATACATTAAATAACGAAGCACCTTAAATTGAGGCCGAAGCCTAAATATCTAGAAGATAACATTCCGTGGATGAGCGACGCCAATGGCATCATGTAGTAACCACGGTTTGACTTCTAGAGGTGGAGTGACTAATCGCTGACATCTCGTAGGACATGAATGAGCTAAGGAAGCCAGACAATCCGCAGCAAAATTCGCTTCACGATAACAGTGCATTATTTGCACTGTCCATTCCCGTTGTAACAGCTCTCGTATTGCCCGTACGACAACACCGTGCATCCCCTAATTCTCTGTTGATGATTCCTTCACCATGGTCACAACACTTTGGTTATCCACATCGGCAATCACATTGCGATGCCCCAAATCCCAAGCAAGCTTGAGTCCTTGAAATAGCCCCCACAACTCCGCGCCTGTTATAGTTGTGAATCCTAAATTCATAACAAAGCCCCCAAGCCAATGGCCTCCCTCGTTTCGCACAAGTCCTCCTGCTGATGCCATTCCGGTTGATTTCACAAACGACACATAAGAATTTATTTTTACCGTTCCTACCGACGGCGCAATCCAAGACACCCAACATTGATGCCTCCCCACACCCAGCCCACCTAACATTTTCTCGGCAGAAATAGCAGTTTTGATGCTATGAATTGTTTTGTCCACTTCCCGGATCTTATGAGTCACAACAAATTTCCGGTCGGCAAATAAAGCCTTATTTCGACCATGCCTTTTAATATAATTTCACCTTTATTTAAATATGTTCCAACTCCTATGTACACATACAATACACGCCTCAAATAAATATAAGAATAATTTTATTTGATATACTTTTTTACCTAACGGATGGCAAAAACAACGTGTAAGTATGTAATTGTTGATTTTAAAGTTCATGTGATGTGTAAAACTACATTATATTATTTATGCCAAGTACCATTATCATACTGTGTGTACTCTCACTTGTTACTATTGTGGGTTTAAACTTTAAACAATGGTCCATTTGGACAAAGTTCGATATCTATTTTTCGATGTCAAATTGCCGGCCGGTCCCCATCCTATAGTGCGTTCGAGGTAAATTACTTGATATTTCTCATTCATACATATACTTTGAGCTCATATTGGCCCCGTTATTGTTAAAAAAACAATAATTGCTTGCCCTTTTATCAGTTTATAAGTTGTACCACACTCAGTATTGACACTCTCATGTACAAACAAACATACAAACATACGCCAAGCGAATGAAATAAAAACAGAGTTATG